AATTTTAAATTTCGCTGTAAACTCTGTTCCGTACGGTATATCGAACCCAACAGTAGTCAACCGCAACTATGGCAAATCGGACTCCGCCTTTTCCGGTTGGTAGAGGACCGATGAGGTCAATTCCCCATTTAGCGAAAGGCCATGGATTGTAGACTGATTTGAGCTCTTCGGGGAATTGATGAACGTTAGGCGCAAACAGTTGGCACTTTGGGCATTTACGGATCCAGGTGGCGGCATCGATTTTTAAAGTAGGCCAATAGTATCCTTGTCACAAAATCTTGTAGGATAAGGCTTGCGCACCGGGGTGACTTCCACAAATTCCTTCGTGCACTTCTTCGAGATAATATCGCGATTCGGATTCAGTCAAACATTTTAGAAGTAGGACCGAATATCCTCTTTTGAATAAGGTTCCGTTGTCCAGAGTGTATCGAGCTGCTCGAATCCGAAGTGCCCGAGCTTCTTTAGGGTCTGGAGATAAGGCTCCAGTTTCTAAGTATTGAATAATAGGATCCATCCAAGTCGGAGGTTTTTGTGATGTTGCCGGATTGATGGTTACAACTTCGGGAAGGAGAGTCGACGGTTGTTCTTACTGGCCGATTTGGACATACTCCATGCTCTCCATCCCGGTACTCGAGGCTAGTCGGGACAATGCATCTTCTTGTACATTAAGAGTTCGGGGAATGTGTTCGACGTCGACAGAGAATTTTGACAACTTTTGTTTCGCGAAGGATAGATATGGTGACAACCGAGGTTCTTTGACTTCATACGCACCATTGATTTGATTGACTAAGAGTTGTGAGTCTGAGAAAACTTTAATGTGCTTCACGTTCATAGATTCGGCTAAATTCAGTCTAGATAGCAAAGCTTCATATTCGACCACGTTATTCGTGGCGGGAAATAGAAATTTAACCGAATGACAGAATAACTGGTTTTCCAGGTTGGCTAAAACTATCCCTGCACCTGCTCGGTATGTCTTGGAGGACCCATCGATCTAGAGGACCCACGGTTGGTCGTTGTTATACAGCTCCACCGCGGGCGTGAATTCGGCAATGAAATCAGACAGGACTTGTGCTTTGATTGCTGTCCTCGGTTGGTAGTGGATGTCGAACTGTCCAAGTTCGACGACCCATTTTATAATTCGCCCCGAGGTGTCAGGTCGGTGTAGGACCTGTCATAGTGGATACGAAGTGCGAACAGTTATAAAATGCTCTTGAAAATAAGGTCGCAGTTTTCTAGCGGCAGTTACAAGGGCGAATGCTAGTTTATTCATAGGAGGATAGCGAAGTTCAGCGTCATGAAGGGCCTTGCTGACATAATAAATGGTCGATTGGAGCACTCCTTCTTCGCGTATTAAGACGGCGCTGATTGCTGTATCCCTAACTCCGAGGTACAAGAACAGCATTTCCTCCGGGCTTGGCTTCTGTAACGTCGGAGGGGATGCGAAAGTTTCTTTAATGCTGATGAGTGCTTCATGACATTCTTCGGTCCATTCAAAACGTTTTCCTTTTTTAATTACTTCGAAAAAAGGTTTGCAACGATCTGTTGACTTGGAGATGAACCGACTAAGTGCGGCAAGTCGGCCAGTTAGGGCCTGAACACCCTTGAGCGAGGTCGGGGGAATAAATCTTGAATGGCTTTGATCTTGGCCGGATTGACCTCAATTCCCCGTTGACTGACCATGTAACCGAGGAATTTCCCAGAATTAACTCCGAAGGTGCATTTTTTTGGATTTAAGACCATGGAATAAGACTGAAGAATGTTGAACATTTCCTGAAGATGTGTGACATGGTCGGAGGTGTTCACCGACTTGACAAGCATATCGTCTACGTAGACTTCCATTGTATGACCTATCAAATTGACAAACATCTTGTTGACGAGACGCTTATAAGTGGCTTCGGTGTTTTTTAGTCCGAAGGGCATCATAGTATAGCAGTATAAGCCTCGGGCAGAATAGAACGGGGTGTGCTCCGAGCCATCGGGATCCATGGGAATTTGATTATAACCGGAGTAAGCATCCATAAAACTCATTAACTCATGTCCCGAGGTGGCGTCTACTATGTAATCAATATGAGGAAGCGGATAGTTGTCTTTTGGACACGCCTTATTCAAATCAGAGAAGTATATGCACAGACGCCATAAGCCGTTGCTTTTCTTTACAAGAACATGATTAGATACCCAAGTCGAGAATTTGGCTTCTTTGATGAACTTGTTGTCTATGAGATTTTTAACTTCCTCTTCTAAGCCTTCTGACGATCTGGCCCCAATTTTCGACTTTTCTGGACAACCGGTTTAACAGTTCGGTCGAGGTTCAGCTTGTGGCTAGCAACACCGGGGTCAATTTCCCTCATATCCTCGTGTTTCCAGGCGAAGACGTCAGAATTATTCTTGAGAAATGCCACGAGTTCTGATCGAAGGGGTTCTTGGAGGTGGCTCCCAATGCGTAGTGGTTTTTGACATGTCGGTTCGTCAATATGGATCAACTCCACTTCTTCTCCGAGTTTGGCTTGATCACTTCGACTTTTCTCTTTGAATTGAGTCCTTGGGTCCAATTCATCTTCTTCCGGGATTGGTTCTTTACCGGGTTGTCTACCTCGGTCCTCAGATAAAGGGTCTGATGTGACGGGGACAACGACTTCATGACTCGGTTCCTCGAAAATTGCATTGTCCGAAGTGACTGATAGTAAGGAATTTCTTTCGTTGACCGAAGTGGCGGAATGGACTCTGGTGGAATGTATGAAAGTGATAAGTTCTCGATCTTCTCTTTGATCTCCGTAATGCGTTCCTTCACCACGTGTCGTCGGGAATTTAAGTGCATAATGAAAAATAGAAACCGCAGCTCGGAATTTGTACAGAGCAGTTCTTTTGATG